GCCCAATGACGATGACATTGGTGGAGGTCCTCGTGCGGGATCTGGCAACGTCATCGCCGAGGGAGGAGGGAGTCCTCGATGAGGTGTGCCCATGGTGTGGGAGGAGTTGACTGCCTCTGAAGGTGGAGATAGCCCACGGTGGTGCCTGTTTGAGTAACGAGAAGCCGAAGAGGATGAGAAGGCTGGAGAGTAGGCATGAGGTTTGTATTCGAAATCGGACTTGACCGGGTTAGAGAGTGTGAGCAACATGGAGGTAGGTGGAGCCGATATGGTAGATGTCGTAGGAGCAATTCAACATTGAAATGAGTCGGAGGGTGGCGCCAAAATTCGTAGGTCCGGAAGGAGAAGGAACAGTGTACATACTTATTCACCAGACTACGTTTACCGGGACCACCATCCACAAATGGCCCGGGATAGGATCGTAGCCGTTGCCCTAGGGCCTAGGCTTAATATGTCCCTGGCACAGTAGCCCCGATGTGATTCGCCGTTAAAGCAGGGCGACAAAGACCAAATGGAAGAGTAACAGGCGACGCTGCATGCAACGAAGATCAAGCCCCGTAAAAGCTCGCGTGGGCCGGCGTGGTCGATCAAGTCCAGATTAGAGAGAGGCAAGTGAAAATGGGCAACGGTGGGGAATAGTGCACAAGAAGGGAAGAGGGCCGACTGGAATTGGACCAACCAACGGGGATGACGGCCGCAATGGCTTGAGAGTAGCACGAGCAAACGGCAGGCCGTACGTCAAGGACGGGCGATATGTGGCGTTGAGTACGCGAAGGTGGGAGGGGACCTTTGCAGGGATATGCATGAAACGGGATGGTTGTCAGCAAGTGCAATGTTGTTGGAAGTGGTAGTGCGCGTTCTTGTAGTCCCACCATGTGACGCGCCTGGAGAAGGCCTCCGGCTCATGCAAAATCTGGTAGCGGTTCCCACTTGTGGCGCTGGTATATGCCGCAAAACTACTTACGTCCCGTTCGCGAGCCAAGCAAGTTCAGCTCGAACTCAGCGACGGTAGTTTGATGATACATTGGCCTGAGGCTAGACGTTTAGAGTTGGCGTCGCGGATACTGCCACACTGGCCTCTAGCATCCCATGACGCCTGGATGCTTGGAAGTGAACAGATTGATGTTCATATTCACCAAGTGCGACCGCCTTGTTCTGCCGCACAGGATGACGAACGAGCTCGAATACTTCGGCACAATTCTGGTCGCACTGAACCGCTCAGCTGTCGCGATCGTGAGGCCGCAGCGGACCGCAAATTGGATCACAATGCCTCTACTGGGCGGAATGGCATCCAGCACGCATTCGGTAATTTGTCGTGCAGCTCTGCTCTGGACCACCATCGCTGCCAGGTTTGTGGCATCTGTGCCTGTGGCTGAGAGCGAGGCTCAAGGCATGTGGACTGGATGGCGTGGCCTGGGAAATCTGAGCCGTGCGCTAACACCAGCCAGCAGGGTCAAACGTCCGGGAGGAAGCGAGCGCAAGATTACCGCTGCCCGGATTGTGAACTGGCTCAACCTAGCTTGACCAGCTTGCATGATAGGAAATGAAGGGTCGTCACCATCGTCAGACCTCAGCCATGTAATGTCCCGAAGTGGAAGGGTGAAATGAGGTTTTCGTGTTCTAAGAGCCGCCGTGCTTCAACGCGAAACCTTGGAATTGGTGGAAATGTATCCTGTGGCCCTGTTGCAGAACCTGTTCCCAGTTTAGTGTGATGCCCGAACAAGTATACACATGCCGTCATAGCGTCAACGGCTGAGGGTGCCTGGATGAAAAGCACAGTGGTGGCACGGAGCAAGGGACCGACTTCAACCTGTCAGCCTTCAGGGACCCCTCCGGATCTACATAGCGTGACAGACGGCATGCTCAATCGATAAGACGACCGATCATCGAGCCGACGCAAGACCCGAAAGAGTGTCACTTGGAGTAGTTGGAGGTGCTGGAGATGCGCGAAGAGGCAACCAATCTGCTGATCGTCGCGTGCGCGCTGCTCTCCGTCAGTAGCTCTGTGTAATTAGCGACACGCCAGCACTGACTGTGCGTTCCCACCACAGCCCGTAATGTACACGCAGATGACAGCTCGCAAGCCATCCTTGGGAAGGGAAGGGTTAACAGACGCGGCGTTGCGCAATCCCCGAGCGCCTGGTGCTGGCTCGAACGATCGACTAGAAACGTAAATTTCCGCGTCGGCGCTTAAGCTATACCTATCTTGTTCATGCAGCGGATCTACGTGAAACTCGCGGCGCACCGGATCTGTACGAAGGATCTTTGAGTATGATTTCCGGCCCCGGCTGACTAGTCCTGGAACCAATCAAAGCACCCCAGCGCTGCTTAGCATCATAACAGCAGTCGAAATGGGGACACCATGGCGAAATTGCTGTTGACAAGACAGCATCGCTCTGGGGCGATTGTGCGGCGAAGGCTCTGCTTTTCTCTCGCATTCGACAATCCCTCGACCTGAAACCGCCGGATTGGTCACGTAGGAGTGGAGGTGGGTTTAGTAATCGTCTTATTGAGGATTTTGCTTCTTCCTGACGGCACATCGACGAGACGGGTGTGCAAGACCAACGAGAACGAGTTTCTCAAGGAAGACACGGACAAAATGCGGCAGGCTTTTGACAGCCAATCTATGTAGCTTCCTTTTAAGAAGTCCAAGTTTGCACCCCAGAACCACACCAATGGATATTAAACGCTGGAGGGGTTGTGTTCACCGTCGCCGACAGCGTTTACATTTTAGCAGGGGACAAGCGTTCTGTTGGTTTATGGTGGCATGCTCCAAGAACGCACCGGCTAAGCATATTGTTCGTGCCGTGGGAGAGGAGCCAAGTATTTCCGATCGTGGAGATGATGAGGCTTGCAGTAGGGACGAAGAAAAACAGAAGTAGAGCCTCCAATTCAACTCAAGCTTGCGCCTTAGCTCTGTTGGATGATGGCCTCATGTCATGATCGGAGATTCAAAGACAGAGAGCTAACCGCGAAGAAGCTGCTAATGCACTCCTGCAGCAGTAGTCAGTGGACAAGAGGAGCCGTCGTACTCCCTCTGATCGCGATGCCTTGCGACAGACAATACAATGCCAGGCGGGTAGTCGCTGACAGCTGCATTGGACGCACGTAAGCTGCAGCATTGCGGTCGATCTGTCGTCTCCGTTGTGTAGGCTATTGGAACCGTGGCTAGTCAGCCGATTAGCGTACCGAGATGTGAATGACTATTCACCGGCTAGCCCTCCAGGGTGTAAACCTCCGACAAAACTTGCATCTCGCCATCGCTTGCCTTTCCTCAGTTATTTGTAGCAAGTGGCGTAGTCGCGGGAAGGTTGTTGCAACCTGCACATGGTTGATGTCCAGATCGAGGGAAGGTTTTGCTGATCCTCGCTTCACATTGAGAAAATCAGACCATAGATCAGCGTCGAGTTGCTCTGGTCTTGTTGATCAAACCGGGTCTGGCACCCGTACACGGAAGACGACATGCTGTCCTCGCGTTCGGAGTAGCCGACTGCGACTTGAGACGGAAGCAGATAGTCGAACCAGTCGCCCACTTACGAGGACGCGGTAGTTGAGGGGGGCGAACTTGTACGCGTAGTGGGAGGCAAATATCTTAGTCGGGGCAGGACGTCGCGGCAGTTTGCCACCCGAATCGGCATCTGCGACTGCCCCATCGGGCACCAACGCAACTATACCCGGGCGACTTGGTTATTTTTACCGACACAACATACACAATTGTATACCGGACGAGTACTGCACTCGGGCAATACTTGCTCGCCCAGCACGAGTGTTGATCGTGTATTCTTCCACCATTAGGCTGTACGTCGGCTGAAGTATCTGCCCGAATGCAACACCTGTGCCTCACTCTTGTGCTTGTACGTCTTAGACACTCCTGTGGCTCCCGCTTTTCATAGCCGGCCTGGTAAGAGGCATAGAGACTAGGTTTAATCAGCGTTCCTTCTAGATCTATGATCACGTGCGCCGCTATACCTGCGAGTTTTGGATACCTTGCCTGAGCAAATGTTGTACTCGGCGTAGGAGTTACCGCGACTTTGGAAGATCGGCCGTCGACCTTCCCGATCTCTCTACCCTCCCGTGCGTGGAGCCACAACCCGATTAACCCAGCAGCACTCCCTGTTACCCGTCGCCGCAGTCCGTCCGCCGGGCTGTCAGTCAACCGCCAACGAAGCGATGATCACTTCCATTTGGTCTTGAATTTATCTTTAGACGGCGATCTTGCACCAAAGCGCATCTATTATGTGCAAATCTTTTGCCCTTCCAGAAGCTTTCAATATTCGAGAACATGTTCTATGTATGGACTGATCTCTAACGGTAATACATCCATGTTGGTGGGCGATTAACTATTATATTACTACATCTGGTCTCAATTGTGCTGGATATATGTAATGGCCATGCTCCCTATGTCTTGACCGGTGAAAATGCTGGTAGAAAAGAAAAACAAGAGGTATCTTGATAAAGGGTCATTCCATGCATGCGCCGCCGTCTGAGGTTATCCTCAGATGAACAAAAGAAAAGAAGTCATCGCAACACAGGACCCAACCATCGGGCGAAAGGACGCTGTCCCGAAACATCGTCGGAGAAAGGTGGCCCAAACGTGAGCGAGTCAAGCATTCCTCATACCGCGTTGATGGCGGTGTCGTCCACGTTGCATCGCTAATGGCGCCCATGCGGTAATGGGGAAGTGATGTGTCGCGGGTAAAAACCTGGACGTGTAGTTGGAATAGCCGGAAAAAACAAACATCAATGATGTCGCAAATCTTGGAAAACGTGCCAGCCACGTTGTAGCCATGTGTCCGGTGGAAAATCATCGCAAGCCACCACTTTGCAAGATCGACTGCCGGCTTCTAGAAATGGTGTGGAAGGAAAAGTACTCGTTTGGATATGGTTCCGTGTTCGGTAGTGTACCGCGCTGCAACTTGCAATGCAGCCGCTTGCGAGGGCACGCGCGTTTCCATCGGGTCGGTGTCAAGTTCCAGGAATCCGAAGCGCCGGCCTACCGCTTAGGCATTGGCTCGCTTCTTGCGCATCTTGTATTCAGCCTTCGCTACGCGCATCAACAGCTCTTCGTCTTTGATGGGAATCCAAGATGTCAACACCTTCATCGCATTCTCAAAGTCAGAGTCAAGCAATATCTCTCTTGTCGCATCAATGAGCGCAGCCGAGGTCGCGTGTAGCACATCCATGTCTCCACTGAATTTGGAGTTAGGCGAGTTGGAATGAGACTTGTCGCCCAGTAGCATAAACACGTCCCAGACGCGTAGCTGAGCTGGGAAAGGTAACGAATAGTTGAACAGGGTCAGATACCAACGGGTACCGTACGCGGTGGAGGTAATGCCAAGGTCAATCTATTGAAGTTAGCATGTATGCCAGGACGTCAGCCTCTTCAGTAGTGACTTACTAGCTTCTTCGCGACATCGTCGCCCTGCAGCCAATTCGACTCAAAGTCGTCTAGAGCGTCCATGAGCCCTTCAAAACCGGCTTCATAAAGCCTCTCCATGCCTCGGAGCTGCCACAGCCGCACTAGCATGACGAAGGCTCTATCCTCCTCGTAATAGCAAAGAAGCGTTGCGGTAAGTGCCGCCATGCCTTGGACGTAGCCCGTCTCGGGGAGGTAAAGTGACATTGCATGGAGCACGCGGAACAGTAGTCTCTGTCCTCCACGGTATCGCCGCCTGAACATGATATGTCTGTTGATAGTGCGCGGCACGTCTACATCGATCTGCACGTCCTCTGCAGAACTTTCCAGTTGCAGCTCATAGAAACTTTCGATCAGCTCCTCTTCCGTCGGACTGTTCGCGTCGGCTTTGGCGCTAGCAGCGAGAAACGAATACCATGCAGTCGCCCTCCAGCGGTCCGGGATGCCCTTCCAGGTGCGAGATATAACTTTGGGGTCTTTGGTATCGAACTCGAATAGCATTCCCCCTTTATCTGCCCCCGCTTTGACAACCTTGGCCATTCTACGCCATTTCTCGTTGCGCTCGATTTCCTTTGCTTTCATCGCCTGGGCAGCTCTTCCTCCTTCTTCCTGTTCCGCAACCTCAGCCAAACCCGGGGGCAGCTTGAGCATATCGCTCGCCTCGTCTCTTAGTCTGCGGTCTCGGTTGTGAGGTAGCCTGTTCGTCGCGTGTCGTAGGGGTTTGTGGTTGCTGTGCGAGTCTGACGTCCGACCCGAAAAGATGGATCTGGCGGGCCTAGAGGACTTGCCAGAAAGTCGCCGCTTGGGTGAGCCTGTGCGTGGGTCTACGGAGCGTGCTCTTGATGCGCTCCGACCTAGGCGCCGCCGCCTGGGCTCCTCAGATAACAGTTGTAGTGTTGTTGTGACCCGGTGCATGCGAGGTTCGTCGGGGCCGTCGGGGCCATCGCCGTTGGATTTCGATTTGGTCTTCTTGGGTATGATGAAGCCATAGCGGTCGACTTCTCCGCCCTCAAGATCCGCCCAGTCTTCGAGTCCACCAGCTGCCTCTGTAGGCTCTTTGACAATGACGCTTCCGTGCCGTGAGCTCATCAGCGAACTTGTGTCCTCGTTGCCCTCCGCCGCGGCCACCGACGAGCCATTAGCCGGAGTGTTGGTAACGCCGCTGTTGCCCAAGTAGCTGTTCTGGACACTGCTCGTCTCTCCTTCAGGTGTATCCCAATTAACAGCACTCTCATTGCCATGCATGTACATGCAGCGGACCTTGCGCGACATTGTCATCTCGTCGGTCGACAGTACCCGATGGCTGGCCGATCGAGTTCGCGTCGAGTAGCGTGAGGTGGATCGCGGTGAGAGGTGTGTTGCGGCGGGAGCGGGTGGTGAGGGGTCGGGTTTGGGTGAGTCGTCGGGTTGCGCCTGCTCCTTTTGTCGCGGTGGTGTGCTCGGTGCAGGCGCGCCTTCCACCAGGAGGTCCATCTGTTTACTCCGCCTGTTTGCCTTTTTGCCGCCCAACATCATGCTGCCCCGTTTCGAAAAGGATATCTGCGCGTCCGAGGAGAGGTCGTCGAAGCTGCCAGTAGGGATGTACGTGTCTATACCGGAGAAGTTGGCGTCGTCTTCGCACGTTGCGCCGGCGTAGAGTGACTGCCGCTGTGACGCCTGACTCTTGGTGCCTGAGGCGCGTTCATCCTGCACAACAATAGCAGGCAGACTGGGGGTCTTGCGCAGGCTACTCGGTGAAGGTGGCTCGTTGCTGGTAGTGCCATTTGGCGGTGCTAAGGCCGAGTCTCTGCGGTCGTCGTCTGCACTCAGTAGCGTGCGCTTCAAGGAGAAAGCGCGAGGTCCTGGCGAAGTGCGTGGCCGGCGTACACCGCTGAGCCATGATCGTGACGCGGGGCCCTTGGTCGACGTGATGCTGTGTACATTCGACGGCACCTGTGACAACGGATTCGAGGCCTCGGACGTCTCCACCGCGGCATGGCCAGCGGGATTCACAGCCTCATCACGCATCATGTGAGGCGCAGGCTGGTCCTGGTCATGGAGTTGGTCCCCGGGGAGAATAGCGGCTTGCAAAGCGAAATGAAGGGGAAATGAAAGGGCTGGGGCGAGACAGCACCTTGCGACTGCGGTCCAGAGTGCAGCGACGAAGGTATTCCCGGGCTATGTTTGAGCAGCGTAACAGCGTCAATGCTATGGCAGATGGTGCAATTGAAAAGCAAAGACGTATGCGACGACACTGAGATCAAAAAAGGACCCTGGCATGGCTCGACTTTTCTGGGGAAAAGGGGCGTCGCTATCGACTGGTCGTGGGTCGCATGCCTTCTCCAGACCTCTTGCCGACCGGAGATTGCCCAGCGCGCCCGGTGGGAGGGTGACGCCTGCTCACTTGGCCGGCCCGCAGCTGCCTCAACCACCACACTCTATGTTTCTTTGTTCCACTCACCGCATCGCCCCAGCGTATTGGATTGCTCTCCTCGTCGCTCCTACGGACTCTTGACGCGTAGATAACCCTTTGGTTACGTTTCATCTCACGGTGCCCCGCGCTGAATCATGGCACCGTCAGAAAACCCCACAAAATCCAAAACCCGGCGACGATCGCTGTTCCACGCGTCAATAAACCTTCCGGTCATGGTTCCCAAGTGGATTGCGACTAACCAACCCGACGTCATTCTCCAGCTGAACTGACATCGTATCAGTTGTCGTACGACTGAGGTTCAACTCGAGCAAGAGCCTCTTCGATACAGAAAGAGCTGCCAGGAGAGCACCTTCTTTCCTCGAGTTGCACAGGCAATTACGCCATTCTCGTGCTTACCACGCCGACGAACGCGCAACGTGTAATCTCGTCCGACACGCCAAGGGTCGTCTCACCGCAGTGGCTTTAACAGGAAGGTGGCTTTGAGATTTGACATCTTCTATACTACAGTCCGAACCACCACAGGCTCAGTCAACGTACAAGTCTCACGGCATATCGCGCATATTTGTACTTCAGCTTTGGCCCCGAGAGACGTACTCACGGCACTACACGGAAATTTGTGTTGCTACGCCAGCGCGACCTCCAGCTGAACCATCAATTTGCGTCGTGAGGACGGAGTAGAGTCGCTTGACGATACCGAGGGAGCGTTGTGGCCGTGGAGTGTGAATGAAGGTTCCTGCGCATGCACTTGTCAGCCTCCGAATATCTCTCGTATTACCCGGCGGTCTAGTGTCACAACTCTCAAACTGCTTTCCATGTGTACGCTCGGGACGTCATACGATTCGATGAGGACTCGGCAAGAAGATCAATCCCAAACCATGCCCGACGGTAAGATATAACACTTACCTCTTGAACCAGATGAGATGTCTCACAGGGTACGTCCAATCTTTGTTACATGTTCAGCTTATATTGGCATCTCGTCAAACTATGCGTGTCTTCCCCAGGATCATTACTATTCACACCCTCCATCCGCGTCAACAATCGTAGACACAGTAAGTCGTTCTTTCGACTCCCGTACAAAATTCGCTTGATCCCTCCTATCTTCTTTTTTTCACTCGCCACTGTCTAGCATACATTCGTGGCTGCGAGCTTGACTTCATGGTTTAATGGGCCATGGTTAGTCTGTATGCCCTCAGTCGGACCACTGACGGCCTCTGCGTAATCGCGCGTACGTCCCGCAGGATTGAAGCCTGACTCAAACTCAAGACATTGCGTCCTCATGATGTAAACAATACGTGATCTCGGTCATCGCAGTCATCATAGACAGATCTGCGTCGGCCGCAGCAACGGGGTCTCAGAGCGAGCACATCCTGCTCAGCCCCAACCAACCAACTCCGTTAATTTACCCAGCTATGCTAAACAAACGACCGGCTGTGTAAAGAAGCCCCACTTTACCTGTGAGCCGTGGGGCATACATCCAACTACCCCTCATCGCTTCCCTACCCGTCACGAATCAGTGACGATGGTTCTACGTTGACCCGTGGGGAACCTGCGCCAACCAGCACGCGATTAGCACAGAAGATGTACAGTTACAGAGAGTATTGGCTTAAGGGTTCATAAAGACGAATTTCCCCGCCAGACGTGTCTAGGTAGGTCATCCGGCATGGCATCTTCTCTGGATCTGATCAACCAGGCTCCCAATGTAGGCGATTAAGAATTACCGAGACACAACATGGTACTAACAAGTAACCCCAGGGAACCAAGTTATGGGTACGACGCAGTAAAATCTCATTACCAATTACACCATCCTAACACCACAGACATCAGGTTCTGCACCTGGGTACATTAGAGTGTGACGACGGGTGGTTTATCCGAGCAGCAAATGCGTCCTCATCGTCAAACCCAAACCCGACCAACAAACGCCGTAAACTGGTCATGCTCGGCATCCTCATCCAGCACCCAACCGAAGGCCTCATCCTCTACGAGACCGGCGCGGGGGAAAACTATCCCGAAGATGTCGGTCCACCAATCCAAGATATCTTCACCCGCATAGACCACAACCCATCCAAGAACCTGGATGCGCAAATTGCCTTGACCGGCCACAATATAAACGACGTAAAAATGGTTATAATCGGCCACCTCCACCTCGACCATTCTGGTGGTTTGGAACACTTCAAAAGAAAAGACGTACCAGTCTACGTCCACGAGCTGGAACTAAAACACGCCTTCTACAGCGTCGCCACCAAAACAGATCTAGGGGTCTACCTTCCCCACTACCTCACCTTCGACATAAACTGGGTCCCCTTCCATGGGTCGTACTACGAGATCGCCCCTGGAATCAATCTACATCATGCGCCTGGACACACCCCTGGACTGACCATCATGCAGGTGAATTTGAAAGAGAGTGGGACGTGGATCTTTACGAGTGATCAGTATCATGTTAAAGAGAATTATGCGGACGGCGTGCCCCAGGGGTGGTTGGCAAGGGATCATGATGCGTGGGTCAGGAGTCATCAGATGATTAAGAGGTTGCAGAAGAGGACGCATGCGAAGGTTGTGCTGGGGCATTGTTGGGATACAATTAGGGAGTTGAATGTCGAATTTGCGCCCAGGGCTTATGAGTGAGCAGTGCCCAAGAGAGGCCACGGTGTGTTTATGTTGGCTTGAGGAACAAGACGGGTGTAAAGGTCTGGATCTGGTATTGGATCTGGCATGGGTAAAGGATGTTAAACCGCGATGTCGACCGATGTAGGAATGAGGATGGTGCGTACATAGTGTGTTGAAACTGGTGTGATGCCATTGGGTGCGAGGAAATCATGTAACGAGAGAGTGTGGTTGAGATTGCGTCTATTCACGGAAGGTAGCACTGTTTTTCACATAAACGAGTGAAATGAAGACGACAAGCAGTATCCGCTATTTCCATTCTGCGTGTTGCATCATAAAGCTGCGGGCATTGGGAGGCCTCGTGCGCGATTCCTCTTTTTGGGTTTAGCGTGCGGCTTTTCCGGCTCTTCATCATGTTCTTATCCGAGCTCTCAACTTCTGACTCCACTTCCTGAACCTGAGCAGCAGCCAAGAACGACAAACTGCGTAGCTTCAACCATGAACGAGAATAATGCTTCTCGAACGGCTTCTGCCGATGTGGAGCCGAGGCATGCATCGACTGCTAGATGGACACCCGCCAACGGCATCGAAGCAGTCTCGACTGTGACCCCGGCAAGCGCAAGCTCGGATGAACCAAGATCACCACCTGCAAAGAGAAGGAGAGAGGAGCGGGAGAGGAGTAGGGTCAGTAGAGCGTGCGACCGATGTAAGAAGTGAGCTTGTGGAATTTGGGCGCACATACGGTGCCGCATACATTCTGAGGATGCGCTAACGCTAAGAACAGGAAAAAGGTCAGATGTACCGGAAGATGCCCCTGTGCGCTCTGTCTGCGGTCTGGATTGCCGTGCGAGTTTACTGCGTCGTATACTCGAGGAAGATTGCCTTCTGTCATTGTGGACGATCCCGCGATAGCTTCAGACGCACTAGCCTCAGGACGGAAAGAGAGCTTAGCCTCTGGTACGTCTGCGAAAGAAGAGACTGCGATATCGACAACACAGTTCCCACGCATCTATCCTAGTCCTCTGACTCCTATCGACCCGCAGAGTTATTCGAATCCTGAACACTCCGAATCAAACGCTCTAGGCATGGCTACAGACCAGATCAATCGCCCTTCCTCGCGAGATTCTCCGGTACCTCAGGGCGCCCAACGAGATCAAGAAGGCCACTATGTTGGCTCTTCAAGTGCAGCATCGTTTCTCATCCGTATTCAGAAGCGTCTGCACACGAATTCCTCCTTGTCGCATGACTCTACCATCTTCACCTTTGGCGACGCTCCCCTCCCTGAGTTTGATCTTTCCATCTTCGTTCCACCACCAAAGCCTGATGCGCAGAGGCTTGTGGAGCGATATTTCGACTATGCAGCACCGACTCATCGCTTTCTTCATCGACCAACGATTGAACAGCTGGTCGAGGAGTTCTATGACACCCAAGGCGAGATGAGAAGTAAAGAAGATGGCAAAGCAAAAGTTGCATTATTGATGGTAGTCTTTGCGCAAGCACAAGCATATATGCCACTCGGCAGTACGGTGCAGACTAGCAGGTTTGTCGACGCTGCCGCTGTTGTAGGCTCTGCTAATGTCGAATAGCGCTCGATACTTCCGCGCAGCCGAAGCGCAACTATTGCAAGAACGCGGCGCCGTCAGACTAGCGAGCGTTCAGGCACGACTGCTGCAATGTTTTTACCTCCTGACACAATCCCGTATCAACCACTGCTGGAGTCTCTTCGGCGAACTCTCGCATCTCGCCTTCGCTATCGGCCTGAATCGTGGAAGGAAATGCGATCCTTCGACCAAGGTGGACTATGTGGAGATCGAGAGCCGAAGACGCCTATTTTGGGTGGCATACTCACTAGACAAGTACCTCGCCGCTGCTCTAGGTCGTCCACGGACTTTCAAAGACGAGGATATCGATCAAGTAAGTGTATCTGGCGTCATCAAAGATGACGATCACTAACACAATGGGTCCAGGAGCTTCCTACCATCGTCAACGACAACGATCTCCAACCGAACTACATCAACCTACCCTCGCGGCTTACTTATTCCTTGATGACAGCCCCCGTCGAGCACATTAAGTTGACACGCATCGTGTCTCTCGTGCTACGAGACCTTTACTCAATCCGTCCGCCCAGTCTGGCCTTGCGCATCGAGCTGTCTTCGAAGTACACATCCGAACTGCACGCGTGGAAGAATTCTCTGTCAGGATTCCTTTCCGGTTCGACCTCGATAGACCGTATCGACAATCAGCTGCTCATACCAGTCTACCAGCGTCAGCGTTCGGTGCTCAATCTGGCGTATCACCATGCGCTGCTGCTTATCCACCGACCCTTCTTACTGCGAGACTTCGCGAGTCTGACCCATATGGGCACCCATCCCAACTGGAGCGCCGGACTCAGCACAACGTATGATGCATCGGCGAATATCACCGCTTGCCTCGAAGCTGCCATGTCCATTGTACGCTCGGTGGATGACGTTTTCAAGGCGTCGAACCTCTTCCGCTCTTTCTGGTTCACCCAGTACTACGCTTTCTGTGCAGTGGTAGTGTTATACATCCATCGCATTCAGCAGGGCCTGGGCGTAAAGACCAAAGTAGAATGCGAGGGGTATTTCGACGCTGGTGTCAAATGTCAGAGACAACTGGAGACAGTCAGTGATACCGACTGCCTTGCGCACCGTTATTGTGTCGTATTAGAAGAGCTTAGGACTGAGGCAGTACGCCAATCAGGCAGACTATCGACACCAGTAGCCGACAATGCCAGCTTCCAGGACACATCGCTCCTCTCATTACCAATGTCGACGCCAAACCCCGATTCCGTCGCGCCTGCAGCCAATCTTCCACCCCTGATGTACAGCAGCAACAACAGTAACATCGACATCTCCGACAGCTCAGCAGTATTCAATAACACTAATAACAACGCGACCAACCCAACGTTCTCGTTCGATCTACTGGACTGGTCCGACTTCGCCAGTTGGGGACAGTTCGAGGGCCTTGTGACGGCCGGCAATGGCTCCTTCGATCCGGTAACGCAGAGTGAGAACGACTTCTGGTTTGGGTCTTGAGCGAGGAGTGTATAGGCGGGAGAATGAGTTTCTAACACATGGAACCAACACGTTTGTCCTTGCCTTCTTCATGGCCTCTCAATCTCTCTCGCACGTCAAAAAGAAAAGAGCCGAACAGGCCTACAGCCTACATCAACATGGCAGCATACAAGATATGTGACCTAGCGTTGATGTAGGCTCTAGACCTGCCCAGGTTTTCAATTTTTTTTCTCGTATAAGGTGCTCGCTGCAGGCCGGTTTCGATACTATCTGTGCCATTGGATGCGCACCGTCCATGGATTACCGCGCTGCTGTGAGATGAACTGGATAGAAAAAGATTTTGAACTCGCGTGTAAGCAGATGAGAGTCAGAAGTCAGGTTCGTCGATGAACGATCGGATTCGACCTGAGACGACACTCATAGAAGGAGTAAAAGCAAATGATAATTGTCTTCATTCAATCGTGTAAGAAACGCCATGATGCGTCCAGTGGGTATCTCGAAAAGGAAAACAGGCTCTACTATGCATACCCACGACCGTGAAATCATCTCAACATGCCGAAGTCGTCGTAACCATCTTATATCATGTACTTCTTACCGCCTCAAGAGCCTCTGCCACCTCGTCCTAGACGGCTGATCCGATTGCTGCGCGGCCGTATCCGCCGGACCCGCAGCCACAGTAACATTCGCATCCGCACTCTGCTCCCCCGTCTGCGGCGCACGATCCTGCAACTCCACTGCGGGCTGAGCCTGCGCTTGAGCTTCTACCTGAGCATTCGTCCTCGCCTCAACAACCCGCTGTCTCCTGATCCCACTCCCATGCAAGAAGTACTGCCAATTACTCATAGGCAGCGGCGCAGGTGTCTGATTCGCAGTCCCCGCTTCCAACGCCGCAGGCGTAACATCGCCGCCCAGCGCAATCCTCTCTTCCTCGTCGTGCTGGTCGAGGGCTTCTTTGCTCATGTACATGGACCGGCATATCGGACAGCTGGTCTTGCGGAGGACGAACCAGGAGACGAGGCAGTCGGCGTGGAATTCGTGGCTGCAGACGAGGAGCTTGAGGATGGTCTCGGAGTCGGGGGTGGCGGTGGTGGGTGTTTGGTCGGCGGGATCGGAAGATGATAGTGTTGTTGAGGGGTCTGTGGATTGGGGGAGCGAGGCGGGGAGGGCCGCGGCATCGGTTATGGGTGTTTCGGGGGAGAGTTTGGCGGGCTCGGGTGGGGCGGGGGCGTGGAGGGTTGAGAGACATATCGCGCTGTAAGGGATGTTAGTATTGAAGGCGGAATGGGTGTTCTTGTGCTTTCAAACATACCATTCTCGTTCGAGCACCGAACGTGTCTCTACTACCCCAAGCGCTCCCTCGTTGTCGTTGTCCGCGCCATCACGATGTTGCGATGACGAGGATCCAGCAAGACTGACAACCTCGGTGACTTCATTCAACTTCTCCCTCGCTTCCGCACGCCTAAGCGCAGGCTTCTTTGCCTTTGGTAGTGGGCGGCGCACTGGAACAGGAACAGCTTGTCGTTTTCTCCGAATGCAGAATATACACAAACTATATCAATAACAATTAGCCCAATTCTTTTCCAGCCATCCCAGCTTCATAGACCCCATCCATTCCAAGAGTCCAAGTAGAATTCCGAACAAAACTTACAAAGGCGCCACAATAGCAACAACAAACACGGGAATCAAAAAACTAAACGCCGTAGGCGTCATCCCAGACTGGCCAACGGTATCGCGCCATTCGCGCGCTTCCAGACTGCGAACAAAACCGTGGCTCGAAACCGCAGGCATTGTTGTTTCCAAACTTTCAAGAATGCGGAATGGAGCGTTGGCTTGGTTCAACTGACGTGTGTGGGGGAAACGCAGCTCAAGCTTGGTAGCTGGGGGGGAAAGGGATGCGTCTCGACCTCGACACTTTTGGTGCGGGGAAAGGCCAAACGTAGGCGTGGTAGGATCTGCGATGACGGGGGAACGACGGAAGAACAGCGCGGGTATACCGGCAAAACCAGCGAGGACGATTGCGCGTACAAATCGCACGTCCTTGCGTCTATCGTATGCGTCCGTCCGTGTCGTGATTTCAATGTGATGGAATGATGTGTTTCCGCGGCCGTACACAAGGTTTCAAGATCACGCAAACAAGATGTGCGTAGCGCTCACTTCTTAACACTTGTTAGCAACCCCCATCTTACCCCGGAGGCCCACTTACCCGAGCGCTGTCGCGCGTTCCTATGACACCTGCACCCACGCGCTCAGCCTCCACAGCCACGTCTCTTTTCGCCACTTCTTGATTACGCTCAAGGAAGCTTGGCTCGGCGTTCTAGATGCGTGATGGGGACGGCTGAAAAACGCCGAGCTGCAGCTTATCCATCCTTATCACGGTCCGATAGTCTTGTAGGATGTTGCATGTGTGTGAACTGGTCGGGTTGGTTGGGCTGAACGCTTCCACGGCTGGTTTGCAGCGTCAGCGGTACCGGGGTTGGTAGCGAACGATGATGGAGAAAGCAAACACAAGGACAGCGGGAAACGGGAAAAAGCAAGATCAAGCAATAAAGCCTATCGTTCCCAACATCGCTGTTCGCACAGTTCTCTCATCTCCAACAGAGCTCTAGCCTGCACTTCCCCATTGCCATTACCCAGCCAGCGCCCGCCTCACGATCCCCCAGCCGCTCATCGGCACGACCTTTTTCGGCCTGCTCAGGCCATTTCCAAGACTACTGCTGGTGCTGCATCCCTGGGCTGACGTACTCCACCAACGCACTAAATCCTTGGTGCGGTCTAGGCGCCGAGGCAGGACGTACTGTCTCGGTCTTGGTGTGAGTGGAGCGGAAAGGTTTGGCATGGCATGGCGGAGTGGGCAGGCTGTGGGGATACTGTGGGTCGGGCGGGCTGCGTGTTGCGCAAGCCTCCGAACAGATTTTGAGGGAAGGACGCCTGGAAGACTGTGAGTGACTCGTGTCGAGGTGGACTTGTGTTTGCGCTCGTCTCGTGGTGATGCGATTGCAACGTTGCTACTTCGAATTATACTTTGGGTGCTTGGGTATGTGATGGTGTTGATGTGCTGGCGGACTCGCGTCGAGGTGCATGTTTTGTGCTGCTGCAGTGACGATACTCAAAAAGCTCTGAGGAAATCTCACTGTCACAGCAGGCTAATGTGATTAATAGATGTGGATGATAAAACTTCGTTACTCTGTTCGTTGTGGTATCTAGATTACTATGTACATGCTGTATGACTATAACAGCCTTTTCATCGCAGCCATGATGGCAAGAGGTATCGCGATCGCGTGCTATGCAAACAACTTCAAACGCCTTGTCCAGGACCAAGCCTGGCCCTAACATTAAGAGCTCTCAAACAGATTGCTCGAAAGATATCATACTTCTTCGTGTCATTTCTTTGCTCATGCACCTGACTTCTTCTCGCCATCCTCACCGTCAGTGCTGATAGCTGTGCTGAGGTATCGCTCGAAGACGCGCGACTCCAGATCGACGGAGCCCCTCCTGGCAACGCCATTCTTAGCATCGCGCTTCCTGAAGTACACGCGCTTGCCCCACTTCCACGACTCAATGCCGAGGAAGAACAGGAATGTAGCGACGAATACAATTCCCCATTCCCAGCTGATACCCTTGTGCCTGAAGACTGTGTCGTTGATGACAGGGATATAAAGAACGGGGAAGATGGTGACGAAAGCGAAGATGATGGAGAAGAACAGGAACTTGTTGCGCCAGACGTCAATGGCCCATTGCGTGAAGTACTTGTTGGAGTTGGGCTGCATCATGAAGAATGAGCGGCGCATGTCCAACATTTGCCATGCCAGGAAGACGGAGAACCAGGTAAGGCAGGCGAAAGTAGTCGCACGGGCGCGGAAGACGGTGTCGCAAGTGTCATTGAACGATTCGTTGCAGCCGTTTCCGAGGTTGCCATCACCGAAGCCAAACATGACCAGGGAGAACGCGCCGAGACAGAGAGCGGCAATCCAGAGACCGTAAACGAACATGTCGAGAATAACCTCGATGGTGAAAACACCGCGCTTGAGCTGCAATTTGTTAGCACGTGTCCAAAGAGTCGATCAAACAGGAATGAACTTACATTTTGAGGCGGGCGAGTGAGAATGTCTGGTGCAGCGACCTCGAAACCGAGACCCATGTCGGGAAGAGAGGAGGTAATCATGATGATCCACATGACTTCGACGGGAGACACGGGGAAGACCGAGAGTCCACTCTCATCCTTGAATGCGAGACCAATGAGCAGAACGCAGGCTTGCGCAATGTTCTGGGCGAGCAGATGGAGAATGAACTTTTGGATATTGTCGAACATGCGGCGACCCTCCTCGATAGCGTTCAGGATAGAGGCGAAGTTGTCATCGGTCAAAACAATGTCGGAAGCATCCTTGGCAACATCGGATCCGGTTCCCATACCGATACCAACATCTGAGCGCTTGAGGGACGGGGAGTCGTTCACACCGTCACCAGTCATACCAGTGAAGGCCTTGCGTCGGTGAAGGGCGTCGATCATGCGGACCTTGGTGTTCGGGGCGCAGCGAGCAATGACAAGAGGAAGTAGGGGAAGAGCGTCGATTTCGTCGTCGGAGAGCTTGTCGAACTGCGATGCAGTCATGACCATGGCATCTGCGGTTTCCTTGGGAAGAGTGTTCATGTTTGATGGCACAATACCGACTTCAATGGCGATTGCGCGAGCGGTACCCGGGTGATCACCAGTGAGCATGTGGACTTCGATACCAGCCTTCTGGCACTGGCGAACGGAGCCGGCAGTCTCGGGGCGGGGTGGGTCGTACAGTCCAACAAGCCCGCGGAAGATCAAGCCATTCTCGATGCTCTCGCGGTCAAGGTCCTGACCCTTCTCAGGTGATGGGCCATCGTACTCCTTGCTTGCGAGCGCCAAAACACGCAGACCCATGGAAGCCAAGGACTCCATGTTAGCCAAGATCTCTTCGCGGTAGTCGTCGTCAAGGTCAACACCAGATTCGCTCTCATCGTTGAATACACGAGTGCAGGAGTAAATGACGCGCTCGACAGCACCCTTGGTGAATACGTATTTCTTAGAGCTGGCGGTTTCCTCGAAGATGACGGACATCTTCTTGACATCGGAGTCGAATGGGAACTCAGCGAGCTGCTTCCAGGCAGGTGTGTCACCACCGGTGTGTTCGAGACGGTTCCACTTGAAGCGAGAGGCAAAGACTTGGATAGCGATTTCAGTTGGGTCACCTCGTGCGTTCCATTGACCTTCGTCAGTCTGATGAACATGGGCCAAGTTGGCGAGCGAAGCAACCTTGAGGTAGTCGACCAGGTGCTCGTTGTCCTGTAGAAGCTCTTCCCATGTCTCCGTCTTCTCATCAACATCAGGGTCGATGTGGCGTGGCTGTTTGGGGTTGAACATCAGAGCGCCAACGGTGGGGTTGTGCGGCTCGTCGGACTGGCCAACCGAGTATGTGCCCTTAGCAGGGATCCATGCCTTCTTTGCAACCATCTTTCCTTGTGTGAGAGTACCAGTCTTGTCGGAGCAAATATCAGTGACACCACCAAGAGCCTCGAGAGACTTCAGGTTGCGAACAATGACGTGACGTTGCACCATGCGCTTTGTGCCGGCGGCCATTGTGATGGTCAAGACGACGGTAAGGGAGGCGGGAATCATACTAAGACCAGTGGCCACGGCATAGATGATGACCTCGCTGTTGTTGGAGAAGCTGTTGGCGGCCAAAACGATGATTGCGCAAACGACGGCGACACCGAAAAGGAGGATGGCGAGACGAGCGAGCTTCTTCTGAAGGGGAGTACCGACGTTGACACCAAGGAAGTGGCCGACAGCATCGGCGGCAGTCAAAGACCATGCCTGAGCGTAGCGATGGGGTTTGGCCTTGCCATCAGGCTTACGCTTGACCTCGCGAACGCGCGAACCCTTCTGTCGAAGAGACATGGCGATGGAACCGATCTCAGTGTACATTCCAGTAGCAAAGACGACACCACGGGCGCGTCCCTTGGTAACGGTCGAGGAGCTGTAGGCGACATTGAGGCGGTCACCAGGGCCGGTGTCCTCGTCGAAAACGGCATCGCCATCTTTGTTGACTGGGAGGGATTCGCCAGTAAGTAGAGCCTCGTCGGTTTCAAAGTTTAGGGCTTCGATGATACTGGATGCGAGTCAGTGACGTACAAACTAGTTTAGCGCAATTCAACGTACCGGATGTCAGCAGGGACAGTGTCACCTGTCTTTAGCTCAATCAAATCACCGGGAACAACCTCAATGGTTGGCACAGTAACAGTCTTTCCGTCTCGCGCAGCAGTAGCTGTTGGCGAAGAGAGTGATCGAAGCGAGTCCATTGTCTTTTCAGCATTGAACTCTTGGACGAAACCGATGATGACGTTGAGCAGAATGATGGCGGTTACTACACCACCCTCAATCCACGATTGAATAGCGAAGGACACAGCCATTGCAGCGATCAAGATCTGTAATTTGTTAGGATTGTTGCATTGTGTGTTCATTGAAGTAACATACCAATGTCATTGCGTTGGCGACCTGCCTTAGCAGAATCTTGCCTGGTGATACACCTCCATCGTCGCCCAGATCGTTGTTGCCGTATTTCTCATGTCTCGACTTTGCTTCCGCAGTAGTCAGACCGTCTTCGTCGTTACACTTGATCTCGGCGACGACGTCCTTCCATGGGAGGGCATGTGCGGGTTTGGAGAGAGGCTCGTTAGCCTGGCCGGACTTGTGGCCCTCGAGAGACGGTGCCTTCTTGCCCATAGTGAGTGATTTCTGGTGCTAAGAAGTGAATGGGATGCAGACAAAAGATCTAGATCCGGGGACATGGCAGACTTTAAACAAGCAAGTTGGCACGCGTGTGCACACACCATGAGAGCAGCCAAGAACCGTGCGATATCGAGAGCTTGGCGTGATGGTGACTATCTTGGGACCGGTGCAGGGAACGTCATCGTCGGTAACGGTCGGCACTCGTCAACAAAGAGATGCATGCATGTCCGCAAACGTTTGGTTGTCAGCCCTCTGGATATACTGGATGGCACATCTGGCCAGGCCTGCCTTTTACCACACTGCACAACAGCATCATCGAGTAACGTTGAGATGATTGAGCGGCAGATGCCACCCAAAAGTGCTGTTAGTAGTGCCGGGCATGACGACAGCGGGGTTGGTAGCACCCGTTCACCAGCACTGCGAGCGGGGATGAGTGAAAAGAGGTGGCGAGCTGTTCGGTCCCAGCCAAGCATCCCGCTCGCCTACGATCCGCCTAGCCGTGCTAATTTCTCGGCGCAGGCGTAATTGTGCCGACTTCCGTACCGAAGCCACAACACCAACGTCATTTTGCGCCAGATTCCAAGCACGCTGCCATCGACTACAGATGCTCAAGCCACTTACCTTCACGGACACCCTTGCGCCAAGCCTCGATTCTCTCGTATCGCTCGAGGCGCCCAACACCTTTCCGAGCGACCTCCGTGGAACCTGCTGAGGTCGTCACGCCGCATGCTAACGGCGAAGCTTAACACCAACATGACAAGGCGTATTTCGCCTGGATATCCCCACTGAGACGGGCCCAAGCCAGCCTCTTGTCGCTCTTATCTGTCACCGGTGGCTTGACTGCAGCGCCGAGCTTTCCGTCGCGGGTCACGAGACTCAACAATCACTTCTGCATCCGCGCCAAGCACCAAGGTCCGCTTACTCCACACCTTCCATCTTGATTACGGAAGGTTCTAGTCGCAAGCTAGATCGGTCGTAATACTTGCGTCTGTAACATGCTCAGCTACTTTGCCACGGTATCACAAAGGCAGAATTCGGTACACTGAGCACAATAACTTCAATTGCCGTCATGGAGATATCATATACCAGGGAAAACTTTGCATCCATTTGACAGCCGTAATGGCCTCAACTCAACTACATGTGCATAAAAGTGGGCTTACCCCACTTCTACCACGATTCAGACAAGCACGCAAGCGATGGGTCTCTTGGAATATCCCACGCCTTGGCATGCCTCACGCCATTTCTCTGCCGCGGTCTAGTCTAAGCATCCCAGTCCTCCGAGCACCCATCGGAGAACCAAATTTTGTCGCTTATATCTCTGTCTAACATTTCAACGGCGATGCGCTCTTTCACAGCGCGACCCAGGCTCGTTACTACCTCATCTCCTTCAGCTGCAAGCGAGAAGCCGCCGGTGAGATGCTCAGCTACACTTTCGGTGGTATACATGCCGGGTCGGTATATATTGTTGAATCGGGGCTGGTATTGAGACAGTCTGGCGAATCGAACACTCGTCAGGCAAGGAGACATCGTCAACTGCTTGAAGATCGTAAACCAGGTTGCATCTTTTAGCTCGACGAGTCCCGGTTTCAGCTTTCGTCCAATGACCTCCTGAACCACTTCATCCTCGTCGGAATCAGAATCTTCGACATCCTCAAAGTCGGAGGGCTCAAACGCATCTTCGTCGTCATACCAACCAGACAGATTCAAGCCACAAATATGAAGGCTCTGCAGGGTTTTTCGGTGCTTGAACAGAAACCTCTTGAAAAGAGGTGACGCTATCGGACTACTACGGATGTCGAGGTGCGTGAGAGTAGGGAACTGGGTCCATCGAAGGAAGGTGGGCACATTCTCGTTAGACAACGTAAGTGACCTGAGATTGCCGCTGACGGACTGCAGCAACGATGTGATCCAATGCTTCTCAAAGATTTCGAATGTGCGGATGAACTTCAAGTGTGTGACACGATGCTGAACACGTGTCCAATCGGAGCTCGAGATATCGAACGGTCGTTCCTCGTAACCCAATCCCATCGTATGCAGTGCGACTTCCAGAGTCCAGTCTTTGCGATCTTCGATACCTCGCAGCGCCAAGAGCACTTTGGCGATGTGGCCATGCAGCTTACCGCCGCAGGCCTTGCCTTCATTACGAAGTGCCCATTGAGGGCCAGCCCAATGTCCGTAGGCTCCCCAGCCCATTTCGCGGAGGATGCGCTTCGAGCCCCAAGCCTCAGTCCAGGCAGCAGCATCCTCGCTTTCATTCGGGTAAGGGTCTTTCAGGTAAGAGTCTTTCGGGTAAGAGTCAATGCGTACATGCTTCAAGTTCGGGAAACCTCGCAGTGCCGACTTCAACATCCCCACTGCTTCGTCGCTGGCATCAAACTCTTCCTGCTCTTCAACAAGCTTTGCATGCTTTGGCCCATACGTCTTAGGCCAGTTTTCCTCCTGCTCTCTAGACCTGCAATTCTTTAGCTTCCAAAAAGCCATGTATCCGTTCACGTGCTCAGGTCCGATAGCCACTTCTTCGACGTAATTTCTCAGAACAGGATCGGTGGAGATGCTCAGAAGGCATTGGAGACTGGCGCGGGACAGCATATGTTTTCGGGTAGTAAAACAGCGTTTTGTCCAGTCGTCATATGTCGTTTCTTTTATGCGCCGGCTCGTAGAGCGGAGATTGCACAGGTCGTCGCCAGAAAGAATGGCCTTGCCCTTGGCATCTGTGCTTTGCGTTACTAATCTCATGAGCTCGACGGGCAGCGCTTCTAGGCCTGGGTTTGAAGACGTCGTAGCTGCTGTGGATATATCAAGGGTCTTGAGCTCCTCGGAGAGAGCCTCTGGATCTTTCTGTGGAGACGCCATTGCTGTAGGTATATTGAGCTCCTTTAGTGGGAATGGATGGTTTGCGTCAAGTTCGTGGTTGTAGCAATCCAGTCGATGAACACTTTCTGTGGGCTGAAGGAAGAATCGGAAGAGCTTCGAGACTTAGACTTCGAAGGCTTTGAGGAAGGTACCAGCGGTGAGGGAACACTGCTGAAACATCGTATTGGCGCTGGAGCAATGTGAATGCAGCGATCTAACAGCCGCTCTTCCTCGCAATATGCTTGAGAGGCTGACTTCCGCAAAACTGGCTGTGAAGCGATATATCACGAAACATCACATGTGTTTTTTCACATTGTCAAGCCTAGGGTAGTGAAGTGCTATATTGATGCTTTCGAGATATCTCAATACCCCCCTCCCATCCCTCGACACAGTAGCCTGTGGTCACATGCAAGAGCATCTGCAAACAGCCTTGCCACGCTTTCAATAGCCGCCACCGCTACTTGAGTGGAAGTCCAGGATCAATCAGATAGCCAACGCCTCTTCTACCATTCGTGGAGCACGGTAGTGCTTGCTTCCCACAGGATAGCTAGTTCGGCGGCGGTGTATTGAGCATCAGGATTGACTTCGACTGCACTTCCACTGTCTGCTTGCCCTTTGAGGACGACTGGCGGTAAGTCTAGCTCTGAGTCGTCACCAGGGGTGGGGTTGAACACCGTACCTAGACACATATCATCAGCCAGATCCATACCATGATCGTCGCATCCAAAGCTCACCACGATACGAAGGACCAAAAGTCCTATCCATCCACGCAACTGCATCCCAAGCCCGGAGATCATAGTCGTCCCATGTCGGCCTCCAGCAACACTGTGGAACATCAATACTCCAATCGATGCCCAGTGAGGAAAGGATGTCCAGCGCGGGGTGCGGGTACGAAGTAAACGCAAAGTCAACATATGAGCCTCCGATCCAGCTTGAACACGCGATACCAACACGCTCCAGCACAGGAAGCTGTTTCCGATAGTACGATAATATGGTAAGCCAGTCAAGGAATGCCAGCTCTGGAAAATGGACCTTCAAGGTCTCAAGAGTTGGTGGCAGCATCTCATCCGCCGGTTGCTGGATATGCGCCCATTGTGGCTCACCTCGTCCGAACAGACACTGATAAGGTACCAAAAGATGCTTGAGCGCCTTGAACATAAGGAAGCCATCTCCGGGTAATACGTGGTCTAGAAAGCTGGTGTCCTCCTCACTGCAGTGAATGGATGCGTCCAGTTCCAGCCTTGTTAAGACAGGCGCCACTGACATGAGCTTCTGGAACAAGACAGTATAGCTACCCTGATCGTCGCGATCGAGATTGAATTTTGAATGGGGTCCGGCTACTCCTTCGTCGGCATCGTTGAAAGGCAATCGCAGAGTTTCCAAGCGAGGGAAGTGCGCGAGGAAGGGAGACAAGGCGTCATAGTGACCACAAGCTGGATTGAGAACGGCGGATTGTACCGGGAATTTGAGAGATTTGACAGCAGTATTGACCGCAGACGAGGCTCCGTCGGCCAGAATGTGGCTGGCACGAGTAAGAACAATCTCCTCCAGATGTGGGGACTTGGCGAGTATCCAATGGAACTCGGTGCCTTCGAATTTGAGGCTTCGTAGCTTTTGCAGTCCGAGGAATGTCGAGAGATGTGCTGTGCGATTATCGAAATGGGAGAAGAGTTTGCTCAAGCACTTAGAAATGAGCCTGGGCCTGCCATCGTCGTCCTCGTCGGCACGTACAATCGATAAGCTAAGGCATTTGAGCTCGGTCATTTGCCAGAAAAGAAGAGCGCAAGCGATGTGGATTTCTTCTATTTCTGCTCGGATGATAGAGGGGAACATCGCGCCCTGTGGTACAACACCAAGCGTGGGGACCTCGATACTCATCATGCGATCAACGACTTTGATGTCGAGATTTTCGGTCTTCCTGGATAGATCTGGCCGCGACAGGATTGTCCGGTAGAATAGCCATAGATCTCGTGGCGCGCTGACCCACACACTGTACCGGCCTAGGACCACGTCGCGATACAGCTGTCGTTCGACAAGCGCGCGCAGCTCAGGGCTTATGCATGCGATTCTGGGAGGTCGAAAGTGCGAGCAATGATGGACAACAGACTGAAGAAGCTCTGTGGGTAGTTTTCCCAGACGACTGTCAGCATATGGAAGAGCGCTGCCTGTAGCCTCGTCGTGGCCTGGTGGTGATGTTGTCTCCATCGCCGAGTCGCGCAGCTGTCCACTTTCCTGATGGGGAGGTGTCAGTTGTAAGGTGTTCGACAAAGTAGCGTAAACATACAAGAGGTAGGAAGTGGTGAGAACGACACTATCCCTTTTCGGACTAAGCGCGGTGCAGGTAAGAGAGGTCGCTCCTTCTTCACCTTCATTCACTTGATGTAGGCAACAGTGGGCTCATCCCGCTCAACGTACACTTGTGCAGTGATGAGTCGAAGGCCATCCATCCATGGACATGCTAAAATCGTCCCGGAACCGCAACAGTATGACCTATTCAGGCAATGCCCTTTCTTGTATGGCCTGATACAAACGCTGCTCCACAGCAGTGCTATTAAAGAAAACTGCCGCGTCTTCGCGCGACCATGATACGTTCACAGACGCCGGAATCTGGTTGATAAACCATCTGGCAAAGCGCTCTAACTTCTCGTATTGAATCCGCTGTACTTCCAAAGCTTTAGGATCCGTAGACCCCGCTGCAGTTAAGCGGTAGAATTCACTCTCCGCGAAGGTGATACTGATACGCTCAAGCTTGAGCATGTAGTATATGCGGCCCATGGGGTTCATCCATGATTTTGAGGGGTAACACCCGCCGGATGGATCTTTACGGAACTGAAATTCCAGCTCTTTCAGAAGCTGCAGGATAGTCGGGTTTATTGTAGTTGACATGTGTAAACACTTGAGGCCGTGACCATATCTTATTGCGCTTTCTTTGTCCATAAGGCCGGGTTGCACTTGAATGAAGATTCTTCGGCTCCCGTAGAAGAGCTTCCTCACTTCATTGTGTATCTGCCTGTTGGTTCGCATGATGTTGAGGCGTGGACGCGTGATGTGTTGACGTGAAGGGTCAATGACGATGCGAGGCCCCGGGGGAAGAAGGAACGAGTACGTGTGGAGGCGGAGCTCAGCGGGAAGTCGGAGGAAGGGAAAGGGTTTGGCTAATGCATGTCAGCAGAGTCAGGGTATGTGGTCCCTTCTGTACATACCTCTTTCCTCAAGTATGGCAAAGGCGCTTTCGAGGTTGGTTTCGCAGGCAATGTCAATATCTCGCAGTAGGGGACGTATCTCTGAGAATATGGGTGGTGGCCCCGCCCATCCGGATAGCTTGTACTTATTAGCATAGGGCCTGCCTTGCAGGACGTTCTTGTATGCTTCAGCATAAGCATCGGCAGTGGCGCGCGGCCCCGTGAGGCCTTTTACTACGAGGTAGAACCTCTCCGAGCCAGCGACGTAGACAGATCCTCCAGATGGGTTTGTTTGACAGGCATCGTCAATATTGGTAATATCATCTTCGCTAGGACTATCTGGCCGTATGCTCGATATGGCGCGATCGAGAGCTTGTAGCTTTAGCTTCAGATGGCCAGCATCTGCGAGAGAAAAGCGCTCCGTGTCAGTAGAGGGTTTAGGCAGAGTCGGCAGCACGATCTGTTGTCGGGCGTTCAGATCGTGAATGGTGCGAATGACCATGGTGTTGAGGGGTGGCGGTGTGGTGATGCCGTCGACGCGCGACGCGAATGGAAGAGCAGTCGGCTGCCCCGCGCGTTGGCCAGTGATGTAACTAGCCGCTCCGGCCATGCTGCGGCCCTGAAATCAGAAGCACATGCAAGACACCAGCAAGCCCATGCAATCCCATGTTTCTGACACCTGCCACCGCCCCATGACTGTATAACATGTCTCGTCCCGCCATTACCCTCTGAGTCCCTCTCCAACGCCAACACGTTTCCTCGACGCGTCCATCTTCGCGTGCTTTGCCGATCGCCCCGCCCAAGGCCGCTGGCTCCACCTTTCCAAGCTTCACGATACAACACAAAGTCCTGGCTGAGCAAGCTGCGCGTTGGCGGCGACGCCCCTCCAGTCGACAGAATGGCTGCCCCGGATAACAAGCAGGGCTTTCTCTCCAATCTATCCCCATGGCCTTCACGCGCCGGCACTCCCAAGCCCCCGGCGACATCCAAGGCCGAGGGGAGTGCGGACAAGGCGAAGAAGGCTGAGCAGGAGAAGGAGAAGGATAGAGCTGCGGCAGTACTTGCTCCCCAGCAAGGAGGGGATCATGTGATTGATCGGAGGTACAGGCTGAGTCTCAAGCGGTACCCCAAGGACTGTCCTCCGCTGGCCGTAAGGTGGTTTCATGCTATAGATGTAAGTAGTCAATATACACCTTTGGGCTTTCGTCATCTCCACAGCGCTCCTGCTTTCCGTTGCGGCACTGACTTTGGCAGACGCCCAAGCGCAAACCCCTCTCGAAACATGCCATGGCCCCAGACACGGCCCTGCCCAAACCCAAGAAATGGATACCCTTCGGCGCCAGCGACTCTCGCGCCATCGAGGCCGCCTTCCAGAAGACTGCCGACGAAGCCGATGCCGACGAACTGCGAAAGGGCATCATCAGCCCTACGACGCCCACCCAAGCAAGCGCGACTCCTCCCAAAACCACAAAGGTGCCTGTCAACGAAGACTACCTGTTCGATGTCGAGATCGAGACACGCGAGCTGGCGCCATCATACTGGCTGGGTCCGGTATACGATGTGAAGCGAGGGACCTGGTTCACACCGGATGGAGAGGCCGTCGATGAAGGTCTAGCCATGCAGCTCGAGGAAGGCTACCTGAAAGTCAAGCCATGGAAGTTCGGGAAGCCGGAAGAGAAGCGAGCAGTATCGCAACCCCGCGCTCGGCCGCTCTCCATGGGCCCAAATGCTGGCGAGGACCACCGCAAGGAGCTGGCCAGGCTGCATCGCGATTCGACATCCAACCCAGTCACGCCCAAGTCGTCGTATGATAATCTACAGAAAGAGGCTTCAAAACAGTCCAACGATTCCAACCCCAGCGATGCATCTACAACCTCCAATGCGCCCGCCGATCTACCGCGCACACACCGACTGTTCGGCGCACATCTGAACTCCACCGTTACCTATCAAGACGAGACGACAGCCTGGATGCTGACTGATGACATGTGGTCGCGCATGGGCAGTACCCTGTATCAGCGCTTCGCTGGAGGAGCACATTATGCTGGGTACAAATACATCCGAGGGTACACCGATCCCAAAGAAAAGAAAAAACAACCGACCCCAGGGAAGGGCCCTCAAAGCGCAAAACAGGAAGATCGACCGGCTACACCCGCCCTGGCATATGGCTCAGATCACGGCAAGCAGTCGGACTCTGATGCTGATGGAGAAACTTCTGAACACGAGCGAAGCATGTCGCCTTCCCAAACGCGTAGGCGCAATCTCGAACGACAGGTCTCGTCACTGATGACTTCCTCGAAACCAGAATATGAGCAACAACAAGAAGAGGAAATGCGAAAGCGTGAGGAGAAAGAGATGCGTGAAGACTACAAAACCCAGCATGGCAGTGACCAAGACCGTGATATTGAGCATCTGCTCCTAGTAACACATGGCATTGGACAACGTCTCGGAATGCGAATGGAGTCTATCAACTTCATCCACGACGTCAACACGTTGCGCAAGTCCCTCAAGTCTGTCTACTCAGCTTCGCCGGACCTGCAAGCCCTGAATGCGGAAACGGACTCAGAGACAAAGAACAATCGCATACAAGTCATCCCCATCATTTGGCGGCATTTATTGGACTTCCCTAAGCAAAGCTTGAAGCATAACCGCAAAGAACACGACCTAGGCGATCTCGACCACGAAGATGAAGAGTATCCTAATCTCGAGGACATAACCGTTGAAGGTGAGTTGGGTGATCCGGTCCTGAGCTAGACCCGATAACTAACAACACAGGCGTTCCCGCTGTTCGCAATTTTCTTACTGATCTCGCGCTTGACATCTTGCTGTATCAAAGCCCCGCTTACAAGGGCCATATCTCTCGCATCGTTGTTAATGAGGGTAAAGTAGCCGCTACAAATAGCTCTTAAGATATCTTGCTAACTTATTACTAGTATGTAGCTCCCTTGCTATGCTTTGCCGACGCGGTGCTAAGACATCTTACTATTCGTGCTAACAGCTTAATAGCTAAACCGCACCTACCGCCTATTCAAGGAGCGCAACCCATCTTTCAAAGGCAAAGTGAGCTTAGTTGGGCACTCGCTCGGGTCTGCCATCATGTTCGATATCTTGTGCATCCAAAAAGACCCAAAAGCCAAACCAAGCACACAATCGGCCAAACAGCGAAGATCTACCGAAGAAGGCCTGAAGCTGGACTTTGAGGTGGAGGACTTCTATGCTCTTGGATCGCCCATTGGCCTGTTCCAGATGCTCAAAGGACGTACCATTGTTGGACGACCGCAAAATTCTACCACTGGATTCGTTCCACCAAAGACGCCTGCGACATCGATTGATGACCCGTTCTCACAGGGTGGAGACGAGCATGCGTTCGACATTACGACTTCCTCGCCTCTCTGCAAACAGGTCTTCAACATCTTCCATCCGACCGACCCGATCAGTTATCGCATCGAGCCGTTGATATCGCCAGCGATGTCAGCCCTTAAGGCTCAGCCTCTACCTTATACCAAAAAGGGCATCTTCGGTGCGCCTGCATCGCAAGGCTTTACTGGTATTGGACAGCGCGTTGGCCAGGGTGTGACAGACTTTTGGACTTCTCTAGGGTCTGGTAAGTTCAGATCGCCTCTGACTACCTGACATATTATTACTATGAGCTATCTGCTGACAACACATGTTGTAGGTATCGCCAGTGGACTACTCAACCGCAGTCTCGGCATATCAGGAACCGAGATGACAGGCGCAGGCAGCAATACACAAGGACAGCGCACCTCTCGACCCCTCACCGCCGCGGCACCCGCCCCAAATAGCGCTGTCAATCTCGTGCCAGGACTTAACGAGCCTACCAGTGCCTTCATAAGCGAAGAGCGTCGCCGCCGCCTTGGACAAGAAACCATTGCCGAGGGCACAGATGGCGAACACCCTCCCACCCTCATCGAAGGGGACATAGAAACACTCTTTGCTGGTTTCCAAAAGCGAAGAGCGAGCCAACAAAGCGAAGACGGCGAGCGAGACGTAGAGAAGGATCTCGAATGGCAAGAGCTCGAAGAACGAAGTCGCAAACTTAAGAAGGAGGAAGCCAAAGTCCGGGCGCTGAACAGTAACGGTCGCGTGGATTACAGTATTCAAGAAGGCGTAAGTAACAACGTCTTCTCTATGTGTAGCTCACGGTTCTAACATTGCAACAGGCTTTTGACATCTCGCTGCTGGCGAGCATAGCGAGTCACATGACATATTGGGCTGACGAAGATGTTTCGCATTTCATGATATCGCAACTTTTGGCGAGGCATCGTGTTTTTAAGCCGAAGGAGTGAAATTTGCTCGAAGACTAGGCAGTAGATTGATGATATACCCTGAATAGATTCCTGACATCTTCGATGACGGCTGCAAATACTACGATAGTGAGTATCATGGGATGACTTATATAGTCTGACCTGTCCGTGCTGTTCTGAAGTTGTTATCTTGGGCTAATGCACCCTTCCGCCGGTGATCATTCTAGAGACGACAGGTCATTCTCCCGCCAGGTGTTTGCTGCAACGCGCGGACGTGCGTTTGCTATGCGCGCAGTCTTCTGTGTTTGTTTTCCTTACCCAAAAAGGACAGTGCGCGCTCTCCTTACTTTCACGCCCCGGAATTTGCATTGGGAAGCGCGTCGCACAGACTTTTCGAGTAGCATGATCTCACTGACCGCGAACAAGGCAGTCGCGACATCGACCCGCACAGCCACCTCTCCACCCGCACCCGCAACCATGGCCACTCCAACAACCAACTCGACAACCGTACCCGCTACCGCTACCGCCACTACGTTCAATTTCCTACGTCGCATCAGAACGCGAGTCGTAGATTTCTTCCTGCCCGAAAACATCCGCCAAGAATATCGCAGGATTATCGCGCCCCTAGCCAAATACAGATATGCTTTCGTTGCACTTGCCGCCAGCAGCCTGTTTGCGATCACAGAGTATGAGCAGCCCGGATACTTTCCCAGACCCCAAGAGTTGACCAACGCCGTGGTATGTACGTCGAGGAAGTCACCTGGAAGACATTACTAACGGCTTGTAGATCGGCTTCCTGTGTGCGAGCATGCTGATCTTCGCTGCGTTCGCGTTGATGGAATACACCGAGACGCACACCTGGCCTTGGGAAGACGAGGGCTTCGTGTGGCCATGGCAAGCGCTGCTCTGGAGTCAGACTGCATATGTCGATGAGACGATGGGAGAGAGCGTCGCTGCGTATCGCAACATGAACATGAACATGATGGCGCCCTCGATCCGGGTAGATGGAGGTGAAGAAGCTGTGGTACTGGAGGAGACTGCATCTTGGAACGACAGTACCAGATCCATGGCTGATTCTACACTCGGCTCTACTACCCCGGCTGGCTCGCCCGCTCGACCCGACATCGTCATCCCGCCTACGCCCTTGCTACCTGGTGGCCTTCGACCCATCCATCTTCCACCACCGCCGGTCCATCATTCTGGTCTCTTGGGGGAGTCGCCGGCGCCGATCAAGTTCAAACACTTCAGCGGGCACTCGAGCCAGGAGAATGTTGATGAGGAGTAGATTGGGATGGCCTAGAGGTGTACGCGGACATTTGAAGCAAAGAACGAGGGGATCTTGGAATGTCGCGCTATGCTTTAGCGGCCTAAAGGCTGGGTGATGTTAAAGTCCGAAGTAGTCGAAGATGTCAAGGGTAGGTATAATGAATCACTTCAACAGAGGCAAGCATGGTTCGGAGATGATATGAGAAGGCAGAAAAAGTACCATTCTCAACTATCTACTAATCGTGAAGTGCAGTACCCATCGCGGACCAGCCGACAACAAGCATACAAAAAAAGAGCAAACCAAAACGGCGCTCGCAAACAAAGCTGCACCCCACCGCCTCAATTCTGAGCGCGAGCCGGCTTCAGAAACCTCACCCAATGGGCTTGGTGCTTCCTCACCAACTCCTCCAACTGCCCAAACACCGCCGCGTCCAGTTCTCGCTGCAGTTGAACCTTGTTCTCCTGCCAGCCGTACTTCTCCAGGTAGCGCCACGCCCGCGCCCACAAGAAGAAGTCGCCCCCTTCGAACAGCTGCTGCTGACCCCCATTGTCAGCGACAAACCCAGTCACCAACTCATGCACACATGCCAGCACGGAGATGAGTTGACCAAGAGCCACTGTCCCACCAGGGGGCAGCGACTGACCAGATCTGCATTGCCAACGCAGGAGGTTAGCAAACGCGCGAAGTCCGTTCTCTTTGAGACGAAGATTCGTCTCGAAAGACGCGAGGGAAGAACCGGAGATGTAGTCGGCGATCTTTTCCAGACCGGTCGAGCTCACAAACCAGAATTCGGCTGCCATGACCAGCGGGATGCTGTTGAGCCCGGCGTCGGTAGGCTTCTCCTGCTTGGAGGTGTTGTCGTCGGCGTCATCCTTGATGCCCGGGGCAGCGACCTCGCGGAGTTGGTAGATGACGTTACCGCCACGGCCAGCACCGCGACGGCGCGAGGAGGGGCGGGAGGCGGGACCAGAGGAGAAAGACGAGGTTGGCGCGAAGGCCAAACCGGCACCAAAGGTGCCACCGAAGGAAGGAGCGGGCGCAGGCGCGGCAAAACCAGCACCGAAGGACGGAGCAGCAGCACCAAATCCAGGCCCGAAGGCAAAAGAAGAGGAGGGGAGAGGAGCGGGCGCGACAGGTCCAGGAATGTCATCAGCCTGGGGCTTATGGTCAGCCCCAGCTGGAAGGGAGAGGGAAGGTGGCGGCGCGACAAATCCGAAATTGTCGTCAGCCGGAGGCTTATGGTCAGCCTCCGCTGGGGGAGAGGGGTGTCGAGGAGGAGGAAGAGGAGCCGAAACCGAGGATGTGAAGCCGGGCAGCACCAGTCCCAGGGAGCCCGAAGCATGATTAGCAGGTGTCGCCAGCGACAACCCACCAAACAGAGGCTGTAGCTGTGGTCCTGGTGCTGGAACCGGGAGCGGAAAGATGTGTATGAGCCCTTCGGGCTTCGACGGGATGCCGGCCAGGATTTCAGCGACTGTGCGCTGAGGCGGCGGCGGTGCGACAATGGGGGCGGGTGGTGCCGAAACAACCACAGGAACCGGAGCGGGAACAGGAGCAGCAGGAACCACGACCGGAGGAGGAACCGGAGCGACGAAAGGCGAGGGGGGAGGCGAATTCGGAAGGGGAACCAAACTCGCAGCCAATCTCTCACCACGAACCGCACGCCAGCGCCACCCACACACCGGATCCCAAACTCTTTCTATCTGGCCAGAGGCCTCGGTGGACCTCACGTCCAGGAACGTGTCGTACTTGCCCTCAGCGGGCAAGTATTGCTGTTGTTGTTGCTGTTGCTGCTGCTGTCGGGGCGGCGACAGGAGGGAGCCAGGGCGAACCCACTCAGGGACCGGAGGAGGAGACCGGGACCGAGCACGCGCAAGAGCTCGACGCTCTCGTCGCGGCAGCGAAGAGGAAGGCGAAGATGGGGCGGTATGCGGACCAGCCGCAGGGACCGAAGAAGAAGAAGAGGATGGGGGAGAAGCCCAGAAGTCATCATGCTCGCAAGCGAGCCACCCCAGGAGAGTAAAGACGGCGAGGAAGAAGAGGAATGCCATTTTGGCAAAGATATGTGATGGTATGTATGTGTGTGTGTTGGAAATGTGTGGGCTGGAGAAAGAAGAGAGGGGATGGGGGGGATTGCTCTTTATATATTGGGCATCTGGGAGCTGCAAAGCTGGGAAGAATGGTACAATAGCTATCTTTCTATTGTGAGGTGGATTGAAAAGTCGAGGTGACTGCTGGAGACGACAATAGGAAAAAAGTGGAGAAGTGAAGGTGGAAAATTCACCTATCGTGTTCGCCTTCACCTCGGATTTCTGAGTGGGTGGGAGACACATGGGACAGCGGGGAGGTACTCACGTCGCCAGCGGGCTTTACAAGCTTCATACAGACGTATACGTATATCTCCAGGCTCACCCATGAAGTCTCTGTCCACCAAGCAAAAGTATGCTACAAACCTCCAGGCCTCTTCATGATGCCTCCATCCTCACACTGCCAATGTGATGTAGACCTCAACACCCTACCACTCCCTGACCTCCCCTCCCGGTCCAATGAACCCCGGACTAACCCAAGCCTTCGCATCCCTACTCTCCCGTCTAACCATCTCCTCATCAACTTCAATCCCCAACCCCGGTCCCTTCATCAACTCAATATACCCATCCTTCACATCCCATACCTCAGGATTCTTTGTGTAAGACGTGAGATCCTGACTACCAGCATTGTAATGTATACCCAAACTCATCTCTTGAATCGCGAAATTGGGTAGTGTGCAATCTACCTGAACACATGCGGCGAGGGCGATGGGACCCAAGGGACAGTGCGGCGCGATGGCTACGTCGTAGGTTTCTGCGGCGGAGGCTATACGGCGCATTTCTGATATGCCGCCTACGTGCGAGATATCTGGTTGGAGGATGTCGACGCAGCCAGCTTCGAGGAAGGGGCGGACGTCCCACCGGGAATGGAGACGTTCACCTAGGGCTATGGGTATGGAAGTTTGGTTGTGAAGCGATGTGATACCTGTGATATGTTCAGAGAGTAAGGGTTCTTCTATGAAGAGTGGGTGGTGCGGTTCGAGGGCTCGCGCGAGTTGCTTGGCCATGGGCTTGTGGATGCGTCCGTGGAAGTCCATTCCGGCGTCCATTCCGAGGTCTTTGACGGTTTTGAGTCGGTCGACGGCGGATTGGAGGACTGATGGGGAGTCGAGCCAGCCGATGTCTTCTGTGGCGTTCATTTTTACGGCATGGAAGCCTTGGGCTTTGCGGGCGAGACTGGGTGAGCGGGTCAGTACTTTGCTCCCGTCGCAATGGCCGTGTCCTGTAGTTTAAGGTTGCTTACGCTTGCTCCTTAACGTCATTTGGTCGGTCTCCACCTATCCATGCATACACTTTGAGCTTGTCGCGTACTTTGCCTCCGAGGAGTTGGTAGATTGGCACATTGAGTTTCCGAGCCTTGAGGTCCCAGAGTGCAATGTCGATGCCAGCTAGTGCGCTCATAAAGACTGGTCCGCCACGATAGAAGCTGGTACGCCAGCACATTTGCCATATGTGTTCGATGTCACTGTTATTTCGTCAGCATTGATGCCGTTCTGCGTACTAGAAATCGTCTCACTCTGCTTCGAAGCCAACGTAACGCTCAGCCCAAGCGTCTAAGCATCCTTCAACTGCTTGTGTGTGGCCTTCTAGTGAGGCTTCGCCCCAACCATAGTTTCCATCCGCGTCGGTAATCTTGACGAACAGCCAACGCGGTGGAACGCGAAAGTATTCGATGGTTGCTATCTTTCCCATGGCTCCGGTCTTCGCCGCTTTCTTCTACTATCTCTTTTGTTATTTCGGTTTGTCGATGACAGCTTACAGTCGGAATCCTAAGGATAAATCTACATGTCGAATACGACATAGCCATCTCCGTCCATCATTTGCACCTTGGCCAATCAGCACAATGCCGCCGCCATGTCCCCTTCGCGGTAAGTCGAACGACGGCGCGGGGTCAAAAGGGCCAGAAGGGCTCCACCGCGGGGCGCATAGCTTCGGCAGCTGGAGTAAAGCAACCCGAGGAACGGCTGATCAAGACTTGCAATAAAACTCGCGGTACTCGCTGCGCGTAATAGCTGCTGCTTAACATTGGACTCCAGTAAGAAGAAGAAACGCATCACCAAGCGACAAGAACGCGAATCTACGCACGAGCCACAAAGATGACATCATCCCCCCCTACCGGCGTCTTCGTCCCCGTCCCGACCTTCTTCAAACCCCAATCCGAATCCAAATCGCTGCAACCCGCTGTCGACGTGCAGACCCAAGTCGAGCACTCTGTATTCCTTGCCAAAAATGGCGTGCGCGGTCTCGTCCTGCTCGGCTCCACGGGCGAAGCGATTCACATGTCGCGACAGGAGCGCATCGACCTTGTCTCTGGTGTACGGAAGGGGCTAGAAGAGGCAGGCTTCAAGGACTACCCAATCATGGCTGGTACATTGATCAACAGCGTGGATGAGACGCTGGAGTGGCTGGAAGACTTCAAGAAAGCGGGCGCGCAATGGGGACTTGTCCTTGCGCCGGGCTACTTCGGAGCCGCGGCGAGCCAGGAAGGCATCAGAGAATGGTATACCGTTGTCGCGGACAAGAGCCCATTGCCAGTGCTTATGTGAGTCTCAAGTACGTGAAGTTGTTGTATCGTGCTAACGAGGCGACAGCTACAACTACCCCGGTGTAACCAACGGCGTCATGGTCACCCCCGAAACCTACCGCATCCTCGCCCAACACCCCAACATCGTCGGTTGCAAGATGTCGCACGCCGTCGTCTCATGGCACAACCAGGTCTCCCTGGACCCCAAGATAGACCACAACAAATTCCGCGTCTACTCTGGCCTCGGCCAACAGCTCGGTCCCATCGTCATCTTCGATGCCGCAGGTGTCATCGACGGTCTCGCAGCCATATACCCCAAGACCGTTTGCTCGTTGATGAAGCTGGCGGAGACAAGGCCCATCACCGATGAGAACCTTAAGAAAATGAAGGAACTGCAATACACCGTT